CTTTCCTAACATCCACACCTTGATCCGCATTTTGTGCACGTTGCCGATAACGTCAGCTGAATGTGAGCGCTCATTCAGTGCACTAAGAAGGTTAAAAACATACCTGAGGTCGACCATGTCAAGCGAGCGAGAGTCTGGGCTGGCGTTGATGAACATCAATTACCACCGAGACATAAATATCGAGGAAGTGATAAACACGTTCGCTCAACGGCAACCAAGGCGTCCTCTGTTTCCGTAGCGTAAACGCCAAAGTCATGTACGTACTTGTACGTAATTTGAGGATTTTAGACCAACCGTTTTCGTTGGAGCCAATTTGGACCCCCCCCTCCCTCCTAGAAATCCTGGCTACGTCCCTGTATATTACTTTTTGTTCGAACGTTTTGTGTCAATTTAACCATTTTTAATAGATTGAAAGCATTTTGTCGACCAGTTGGGAAGGGCGCATTAAGGGCGCCCTTCCCCCTGGGTCACTGAAGCAACAGGACTAGTTTATAATGAATGCAAGCTCTTTAATGAACATAAACACTGTTAAAAGATAAATTAAAAAAGGAGTACCTTTGGTGGTGTCGATATCATTTGTTGACCTTTGTTGTTTGGTTCGCCAAACGTAGTTTTTCCCCATATGATCTCTAACAACTTCCAGCCCCTCAGTAACGGGTTTTTATCGAATGAAACAAACTTTCAGATACACTTTATCGAAGATTCTTGATTTGAGATACTGTACATGTGTTTTTAACATTCTGCTTAAGCCAGTATGAAAATATGTCGGTATTGACACTATACTTGACCTTCTGCGCGGCGGTTTCCACTTATTCCATTTATACGTTAAAAATAAAAAAAACGATAGAAGACTTAAATATTCATTAGATACTACATTATAAAACATTATATAACATTATATTAATCTTCATTGAAAAAAATGCATATTTGGGCACATTAAATAAAATTTCATGGAGTTTGTGTTACCCGCGGTTGCGTGACGGTTTTAACGTACATTTTATGCAAAAACATGGAAAATGAACTGCGCGTTTACCTCTCTCGGCGGGTTGCTTTTTAATTGCCCAAGCTGGATTTTTTATGTTGTACTACAACAGTAGGGGTTTTGTGAGGTATAATAATTCTTCTAAAATTCCATGTACCAAGCCGCGATTTTTTCCTTCAAAGTTTCGCAAAATTTCATTGTTTATGAAAGTGCTGAAGATAGGAATCTTTGGGCGTCTTTTAACCGAGTAAAAAATTCATTATCTTGCAATATTTTTACCAAATAGTATTGTAACTGGGATGCCTTACTTACCTGCCAAAGATGAAGTTGTTTCCTTGAACCGTCTTTTTTCCAGAGGGCTTTGAAAATGGTATAATTCAAAGGTTTTAGACCGGCGACTATATGGCGTGGGGCAGCATTTCACTTTTTGCCGGTTTTCTCGAAAAAGAAAATTCTTCGGAAACTTTGATTGTAATTTTCGAAAATGTTTCACCAAAGGGTTTTTTCTGACTGAATATGAAGAATTTCTAAATTTCCGTTTTGAGGGCAAATTCTCGATATTTACAGACAGCCGCTCTTAAATGGTCACCCGACGCGACTCTCAGTTGCTCGTTGTTCAGGGTTTGTATATATGTATATATATATATATATATATATATGTTGCATAAAAAAACGGTCCTTGTAAAAAAGCGCCATTTTTATGTAAAAAAGCTGTTTTTTTACAAGTTGAACGGTTGAAAAAATACTGCTTTTTTACAAAAATATATTTTTGTGAAAAAGCCTGCTTTTTTACAAAAATAAAGTTGTAAAAAAAACAGCTTTTCTACAGAAATGTAGTTTTTGTAAAAAAGGTGCTTTTTTATGTAAAAATACGGCTTTTTTACAAATTAAGCGGTTGTCAAAAAAACTGCTTTTTTACAGAAATATATTTTCGTAAAAAAGCTACTTTTTTATGTAAAAATCCTGCTTTTTTACAAATTGAACGGTTGTAAAAAAGCTGCTTTTTTACAAAAATATATTTTTGTAAGAAAGCTGCCTTTTTATGTACAAATCCTTCTTTTTTACACATATGAATTATCGTGAAAAAAGAGCTTCATGCTCTTCCTTTAGACCATTTGACAAACCCATTTATCGAAGACAGGCTGTTTTCTATAGCATGGTACGAACTTTATTGAACTGTAGTTTTCGTGCGTTTCTCAAACTATATGTTATAAGATATCCGGCTAGTCACGTTCACGTTCCTGTGTCCCCTTTATTGTGGGGCTTTTAAATTCCCTTGTTGACTCGCTGAAAGCGTTGAAAATTTACGTTCTTTTTATTGTTTTTATTATTTCTTCTTGTTTCCTTTGTCATTCAATTTTCCAGGACCTTCTAATTGTTGGATGCGAAGAAGGAACAGGCAGTAATTTCATTTGTTATGCTTATCGGCCTTAGTCACACACGGCAGTAACTGCATTTTAGGCAATAATAGAATAGCTGGGTTATTCACTGTCTTATTTATAAGCAACCCGTGTGAAAAACCTCCATGGAATTCCATGGAATTCCATGGATTTCCATGCAAAATTCTCCATGGAATTTCATCGAGGATTAGGACATCAATTTCCATGGAATTCCATGGAAATTTCTCCATAGATATCCATGGAAAATATTTGCATGGAGGATTAGGACATTTCCCATGGAATTCCATGGAAAACATTAGGGCACCAATTTCCATGGAAATTCCATGGAAATTTCTGCATCGACATTTTCCATGGAGGATTAGGACATTTTCTATGGAATTCCATGGAAAAGTTCCATGCAATTCCATAGAAACTACTCCATCGATTATTCCATGGATCTCCAGTTTCATGGAATTCACAGGAATTAGACATTTAAAATATCCAGTGAATCAAATGGAATACATAACAGATTTTGGTCCACTGCAATTTATTTAATCAATAAAAGGACCGCATAAATCTCTTTTTAAAGACATCAATCAAAACTTAACATGCTTTTGGAGGAAGATTTGACATACTGTAGCTTAACAAATTAATGTTTACTTGTGACTATATGCATTGCAGTTTAGAATGCAGCAATCATATTGAAGTAGCTTAAATGAAAAATTTAGATTTAATATAAAGCAAGGAATCTTGGCCTGGTGTTTAAGAAAAGTAACAGGCGAACAGATGCATAATTGAGAGAAAAAAAATGAGCTAATACTTGAATGCATAAACCGTCAGTATGTAAGACTTAAACATGGCTTTATTTAATGCGACGAAAAAGGAAGTGCTACTTATTTCCTCGATCAGAACCACTATGGTATTTAGTTATAGCAAAGCCCTACCTAATCCTTGGGAAAAAACGGCGTCAGCCACAATTATAATTATCAGTCTCTTGCATAGTTTTTACGTAGCAGGCATGAAAATTCTAAATGATATTTCTTCTTATGCATCGAAGCAGTCCATCGAAGTACAGTCTTCGATTTCTAATTCTGTCAGAAGTAGTAATTATTCCAAAGGATTCCAAAGGCAATTTGCAGGAAAGACCACATTCATATCTGTATAAACAAAAAAGATGGAAACTAAATATTAAAACCGATAAACAGCACCCGAAAAGTCACCCTTCTAAATCTAGCAGAGACATATAAATCTAGCGGACGAATTCAGTTGAGCAACCAAACACGAGTTGTGTACATATTAAGCTTACCTTCCTCTTTAATGTGCGATCCAGCTGAGTCATTGTTTAATCGAAGTCGATTTGAAAGAAGCCAAATGTAAGCAACCTCACAAGTGATATTTTGCGTTGAAAATAACATCTTTTTCGGATGCATTCATCGCTAAGACAATCCGTTTACACAACACTGTCGTACTGCACAGAAGTCCGCCTAAAGATTCGAACCAAGAAAACTGATCTTCTACGCATTTCTATTGGTTCAAAAGCTCCACGTGATCGCGTAAGTGACTAAGCGGGGAGGTCTGGACGCCAGTTCAAGCACCAAACAAGGCGTCAAATCACGCCACGATCGTGGAGATGTCTGTCTTTAAAGGCTTTAAATTGTGGTCCCTTTCAGAGTTAATTGTACTATTCTGACGCTGTAGAAGAGTAAAGCAGTGAGAGGAAAATATTGCATTGTTCTCCCAGGTGAGGAAACCTTTTAAAAAAGGCAGCAGGCCTATTCATTGTCTGATCTTAGTGTCATCACGCAACGCTCCTCCGCACTAAAAACGGCTGTGTAGCAGATTAGCCTATCCACGGATGCGGCAAAAAAGCTCTAATATTGCTTGTGTAGGTTCGCCGAAATACTCCATACATAGCAATCTCATCAATCAGGTTGGACTCGAGTAATAGGGAAAATCTTAGCTCTCAACCAAAACACACTTCGATACCGAGAAGAGTTATGTGCCTAGTGGGATCATTTCCAGTACTGGCTATTTAAGTACGGGACCCATACATCGTCTTGTATTTGCTATTCATACGGGATTCTGACTAAACTGATTAGGTCTATGTAAGCACTGACTCGAAACGGTTAGCCTCTAATTAGGGTTACGGTTGTTGTTATATGAATAAAATCAAACTCCACCTACAATGAGGGACAAAAGTGTTGACACACTTCCGTAAAATGGCCCCTTTTTGCATAGTGGATATACTTATCCCCTTCCCCTGTCTACCCCAACCCCTTCCCCCCAAAATCAATGTTGAATTTTGGACCCTCAAGTCTTTTTTTTACTTCAGACAACATTGATTCGGGGGGTCGGGGGATTTACGGCCTTTAAAAAGAATGAAATAATAAATGAATTAAATGTTTGTTAAAAGCACCCCTTTTCAACAAGTGTGTCAACTACTTTTGTCCCTGATTGTAGCAGCGAGTTACTACTCCGTGGTAGAGTGGTTAGGCTACGAATTATGGATTCTACGCCCCAGGATCTGTTCTCAATCTTGCCACATCGAATTTTTCTTCTTTTCAAAATTTAACACTGAAATGTTTTCCTTAAAAATGGAATAGTGGTTGAAGAGACTTACACTTTCATGGAAATTTGTTGATCAGAAATTTCAAGAGACTTAGAAATTTCATATAAATTTCAAGTAGAGACTTGATCCCGTATGTCATAGCAAATACACGTCCGTGTACGGGTCCTGTACGAATAGCGGTACTGTGCCATTATGAAGCAACTGCATGTTGTTAATAACAGTCATCTCATATTTTAAATGCAGCTCTGATTTTAAAAGATAAATGGCAGACA